CATAATAATGCAAAAATAAAGAGACTGTCCCCATAACAGTTCACATCAAGCTTTGTTATCAATGTTTCTCTCTTCTATTAGCTTTTTGTAGTTATCAAGGTATGAATACAAAAATCGTGAATCTGCTGCGTGATAACGTTATGGATACAGGCGTTGAATATATATATCTTATGCAAGACCTATAAAAGCAGTGCTTTCTGCCATCCGAGTTATAAGTGCATTACGAACGATATCAAGCGATGCTGCGGTGACGAATTCGCGAGAATACCTATAAAATGCTAAAAACAACAGAGAGAACCAAGAGCCTTATAATCTGGCAACAGATGCAACTTTAAATTGAGTTATATGGGAAGTAGGTATGGAATATAGGCATTTCTAGACAGCATTACATTCAACATATGTTCGATATCAGTTGAATAGGTCCTGAGATATGGCTTTTCACCAAAATACGGGCGGTGCCATGGCCATCTACCATTTTTGATCGCGGCTCCTATAAAGTTCTACTGTATCCTCTCAGATACAAAATTTAATGCCTCTATTGTATTTATTTACTGACTTAACGAGTTTTTTGTACCTTTTAAAAGAAATTTCAAATAAAGAGTGTCAGATGGGGTGCTTAATTGAGTTGTCTCTTCCGAATTTGTTTCTCAACTCTTTGCCAAGAAGCATGTGTACCAAGTTTCATTGAGATTTATACTGAAGTTATTGCTTGCATAGAAGAAGGGGTGGACGGACGGACAGACAGACTGACAGATTTTTGGATCACTCGAATTTCAACTCGTCTCATCATCCAGATCATTTATATATACAATATAACTATATATTGAAGTCGATTATTTTTATGTGATACATGCAACCGCTAGGTGAACAAAAGTATTATTCTCTGCAGTAACATGTTGCAAGAGTATAAAAATAGTTTTAGAGCCAAAGTTATGACAGACAAGACATAGCCGGTGCACTTACGAAAAGCAGTGGCTATACAATAATGACTTACATCCAATTTTAAAGAGATTCATTTCAGGTATAACAGCTTTTTTAATAGCAAACTGACAATAGAGCCCATTATTGAACAAATTTCGATTTCAGCAGCCTACGACCTATTACTGTGGGGCAACACTTTCCAGTGCTACCCTGACGGTACCGGAAGGCATTTAGGCATGCTTTGCGGGACCGCATTCAAAACTATCCAGATCAATGGTATATTTTCCGATCATCGAACTATCGAAACCAGCGTATCGCTATACTCAGCGATAGTTAAAAGGCTGAATCGGCTATCAGTTTACAACCATGTACAACTGATCTGGATGCTGGGGCAAACAATGGCAATGAGCTGGTCCATGAAGTCCGCTCTTTGGCTGATTTTACGTAGATGGGGCCCACACCATAAAAGAGTTGCCCCGCATGGATAAGAGAACGGCATTGGCAACAGACAGCAAAAATGCGACACGCCAAGTTGCTATTGCGAAACAAATTCGGTCTCCTTGTCACGGTCTATTCACGGTATGCAGGCTTAGAAAGCACTTGTCCAACATGTGCATAGTTTCTTGCCCAAACTGCCGATTATGGGCAATGGAACAGGAAACTCCAGAATACCTGATTCTAGATTTTCCAGGTGGTGGGAGCTTTACCTCAGTTGACCCCAGGAAGCTCCTGGAATTATTCAGATTTCTGGACCTTTATGACCATATGTGATATAGGAGAGGGCACAATGCAAAATCTCAATTATTTTCCATTTACCTACATATCTGTTTACCGAATAGTACCTGAGATTAGTAATTACGAATACCGTTTCGACCTGCGACAGTGAACAAGCTGACTAATACGTAGAGAAAAAATTATTTCCGATGCAGATCTCATCTATCACTGTTGCTTTAAAAGATTCAAGAACCGTCGCAACAATTTCACTTAATATATTAAAATAATAAGCGATAGGCATGCAAGAAATAGCGATAATAATTATAAATTATATCTCCAATTGCTACAAAGAAAAAATATTACAGAATTACTATGAAAATACTATTTTACAAGGAACTCGCAGTTAATTAAAGCTTATTCAAAGAAAAAATATACTCTTATTGAAATACTACTTTTACGAATTTCGCACGGTTCTCAATAATTTCCCCTGCCATCGTATCGTGATATTTGCTTGGCAAGTTGCCGCCTTTTTATGGTAAATGCATATATCAATATTATTCATACTCGTAGATATATCTCACAGGTCTTTATATTTGCCACTAAGTATGCATCTCAATACAAATAGAAGAACTAAATACATGCCGTTAAATGACAAAGTAAGTCTCGCCCTTTACTCACTCCCGCACGCTGAATGGGTTATACTCAAGTTAAACATCAATATTTGTTGTACATATTTGCATATATTTATTTGGGTACATGTATATATGTATATTTGAAGTAGTATTTGTGCATTGCTTGAAAGTTCAAGTATTTCTCGTGACATGGCGTAACATACTGACTTAGTACCACTAAACACCACATAACCATTTTTCTGCAGGCAAATCAATTCCACATTTCTATGTGTATCTAAACAGAATACGTTTCCACTAAATATTGATATATGTATATAAGTACACTGGAGATATAAAATAGCTATGAACTAATAAGTAACTAGTAACAGAAGAACCACAAATACAACTAGTCTGAAGGCATTATTTTTTTTAATGAAGCTAATTTTTCCTCTTTTGGTATCGATTGGCAGCTTTCTGGTAGGAATATTCGTACAACACTTTCCTAATAGTTCAAGATATATTTACAACTGTCTAGGTTAATTTATATCACGTCTACCAACTTTAGTTTGAATTTGCTTTAAGTCCTTCGAGTTTTTGTTGTAAGAATACTAATTAAAATACCTACAGGTAATCTCCTTTTGAATCACTTTTCCGGGAAATCATAAAAAACTAACGTTTTTCTGACTTTAGTCTGGTAATGCGAGTTGTGGACTGATAATGGTCCTGATTAGCTTGATTCTTCTACGGGATATATGTGGTAACACAGATAAAAGCTTCATTACACTGGCCAAAAAAAAGCAAACCCGGAGAAGGTAAAAGGAAATTCATTATGTTTTCAATAGATGGTTGTCATAAGTAATTTGTATCTCAATAGGAATTGTTTTCCATAAGAACAAAGCAGGCCACAAAAATCGTTAGTGATTAATCATTCATCTTATATTCGGGACCTGACGCCTAATGACTATCATCCGTTCCTGTCTATAAGGTGCGACCCAAAGTAAACGGGGCTTTTTGAATCTAGCGCCCCATGGAGACGCCATCTATTGTCGACTGGGGCGTTAGACTTAGCTATCTTCATCGATTGTTTGTGTTATCGGTGTGAAAATGAACATTAAATTTTGTTTTAAAATTGGTAAAACTTTTACCGAAACGTTTCAATTGATGAATTAAGTTTATGGCGATGATTTCCTATCCCGTAGCAGAGTGCACGGGTTGTTTCAACGTTTTCAAAGTGGTCGTGAGGACATAAATGACGATCAACATGTGGGCCAATCAAAATCCGTGATCAACGGAAATTCCATCGAAACTGTGTGTGAATTCATCAAAAATCAGCCGAAAGCATAATTGAAATTCATGGAAATGGAATTGAACATCTCCAAAACATCGATTTATCGCTCATTGATCAAACATTTGGACTATCGAAAGGTGTGTGCACGGTTTGTTCCGCACAAATTGACAGACGACCAAAATTGCTCAGAATCCAACATTCGAAGGACGATTATTTGACCAAAAATCACATTATTTCCACTAATAACTCTCCTTATTCACCTGATATGGCACCGTACGACTTCTTCCTTTTCGGAAAATTTTGCTCATGAAAAGAAAGCGTTATGCAGACAAAAAGGTTTACACCGGCATACTGGCGGCCATACCGGCCTCATTCGACATGTTTTTGGACAGTGCAAAAAGCTGTATTGAAACAGAAGTAGACTATTTTGAATACAATAAATTGATTTTGTCAGAAAAAAACATTTTTTCTGTTTTTTGGAACGCGCCTTATATAGAGAATGAATTTGCCGGTGAAAAACTCACCTCAAGCTTGTGAAAGTCAACTTCTTTCTACCACTTGCTTGCCAATAGGAACGAGAGTTTATATGAGAGTGGCATTATGACAACCAGTTATTGAACAATGCACCGTTTATTTGGCCTAAATCGGATGATTCATATGCAAATTAAACCTTAAATTTATTGCAAAATTTCTTTTTCTAGACCACATATTTAATAAACTGTTTTCTTTTCTTCAGGCATGTCTTATGAATAAACTAATTCTACTCTTTTTTACCCGAAAGGTTAAGAAGTCTATTTTTTCAGGTCTTCTGAACCAACTACATTTATTATACTTCAATCTTCTTCCAACATTTACAACTAGTCAATCTACATGTATACCTTATTTATATTCATTTGGGACGAATTAATGCACAACTGTATTCTAAAGGTATATATGGGAGACTAACTCATTCCCAATTACTCCCTATGGTGAGAAAAAATGATGTACTATCTATGAAAATTACCTGCGAAAGTTTTGGTGGGGTGCGAACAATTCGTCGCTGTGCCATGTGAGGCCTATGCTATAGAAATTTCCACATGTATTGTGAACGGAAATTCATTCCACATCACAAATTATGCAAATCATACGCTTTTTGACTCCATACACACCTATGTACATGGGTATGTAAGTATTTGTATAAGAGTATATTAGCAGAACATTTGTTGGATATTGAAAAAATTTACAAGTATAAAAACGCAAATACATATGTAATATACATATTTATAGAGGTATAGTGTGCCATAGTCGTTTTTATTTTCTTCAAAAGAAGCAAATCAAGGCAATAAAACTGCCATTGGTATTTATACGTTTCGACTGCTTTGTCCCAATGAAGCATTATGGCAAAGTTACACCGAAGGTCAATAAAAGCGATGGTAGAATGGCAAAAGTGCACTATTTTATTTCACATAGAAATTCATTTGACTTACTTGCGCACAAAGGGCGATCCACCTTGTGAAGGTCAAAGCACAGCGTATTGGTGGCACACGTGTCAATTCAAGCAAATCTAAAAAGAGGAGACATTAAAAAACATTTATGGAATTAAAGTTTTACACAATAACACAATAAAAGCCTTTTGGGCTAACAGAGGACATGTGCTCTTCATAAATTTTATATATTTCTGGCTAAATGGATGCTATGCTTGCATTCAACCATTAATTAGTTTTAGTTATGTGCTTGATTAACTTTAGTTTTTTTCGCAACAATGCTTTAGATAGTGTCAGCTGTAGATGCGCTCGAGGCCTTTGAAAGTGGGTTTTGTTCTACAAGTACGGAATTGAGTATGAACCTCAACCAACACTCTTCTTTTCTATACTAGATTGGATAAGCAATTATTCCAATTTATGGAAAAAATTGTAGCATGCGATATTTTATGTTAATTATTAGCTGGAGGAATAATTAAACAAATGCATTTAAATAATAGCGGTTTTTTGTCTCTAAAAGTCGGAGAAAATTTTAAATTCTGTCAATAAAATAAATTATAACTCAGTTGAAATTCTCAATAAGGAAGGCAAAAGTTCCCCAGTTATTGAGGTATCGATCTGCGGCTTGGAGCATGTCCTTTTCTCTTATAGAAGCTGCTCATTTGTCGAAATATTTGAGTCTTATTTCAAAAATTGCAACACCGATAAGGGATGGTGTAACTATGTAAGGAGATTGTGCTTGATCCAACCTTATATATCTTATATATACATAACAGATCAGTTGGAATAGTAATGATGCATCGACATCAACGTTTGCTGATGACACAGTTTTAGTATGCCGTAATAAAAGTTCCATTAGAACGTCAAGGATACTAGAGATGCATTTAGCTTTGATCGAAAAATTGCCAGCTAATTGGCGAATATACTATATGCATTATAAAACGGACAATAAAGCCAATTTAGATGTATGGTATTCAACCCTAGGGCACGACATGTGCAACTAGCAGTGATATAATACAGAGATTCCAGTCAAAAATCCTTAGAGCTATAACGGGTGCACCTTGGTACATTCGCATTGAAAATATTAACAAAGATCTTGGTGATCTAATGATAAAGAAAAAAGTAGAGAACAACACAAAGTACAATGAATTTAAACTCCGCCCCCTACTGAAATCTAACTAATTGATTGAAACCGCTTAAAAAGAAACTATACACCAGCCTTCTAAAAGATAACGTATCGCCAAACAGGCTCAACTAGAACCTTAAGCTTTCTAGTTTTAAATATAGGGTAATTTATTTAGAGCCTCCCTACTTTTTTAAGAAAAAACACACACAAACTTCAATTTGAATATTTATTATCATTCGAAAGAACATACTTTGTCATTTATTTTTTGAAGATTAATTCTTTCAGTCCATCCGATGTGTTCAATTTTCGCTGACGCGTGATGTATTGTTCCAAGACCTGTATTAAACCGGGATTGTCCGCATAGAATTTAGACTTTACATGCCGCCATAGAAAAAAGTCTAAGTAATGACTTCTTTTTCGGGATTCTAGTGAAGCACTAAAAGCTTTATCATTTAATAAATAACTTTTCTCTTCTTTGTGATAGCCGAGAATGAACTTTCTGATGAGCTCGCTCGCTCCGCAGCATTCACTAACATGGTAGGACCTGAACCCTTGATCGCGTTGGGTCCTCATACTATAAGGGAGCTACACAGGGAGGAAGAAATATTAGGCAAAGAGAGATATTGCCAAACACTCCAAAGCATGTGCCATGCCAAATTGCTTATTGGGGGTTACAATTTCAGCAGCTTTAAATATCTCTTTATGGATAAACTCAAGCTTCTTGTTACATTCTACATTGGACACTGTGAGCTCAATAAGTATTTATATAAGTATTTATATAATTCTTGTGGAAATTGCGGGTTCTACGACAAGGAGACTGAAACTCCAGAATACCTGCTAATTGCCTGCATAGAAGTCTGCAAATGCAGGATAAAGGCCTTTGAAACTATATTTTCAAATAGGGATCACATCGCACCACTAGTACCTAGCAGTATCAATATAGGTTAAGTGGGTCGTTGTGACTGAGGAGACGGCACAAAGGACCTTAGGTCGTGGTGCAATCTATCTATTGGTCTATGTATTCTTTGTAAGAATCTATTCCCGTTGCCAGAACCACTCGAGAGTAAGAATTGCATAAGCAAAGGTTTTCTAAACGTGGTTTTTTGAATATTTTAGTGATACATATAAATTATTTTCAATTAAAGTTAACACTCATTCGAAGAATAAGCTCTATCTCGCTCAATTATCGTTTCAATAGTTGAAGTACCATTTAAATGGTATTACTGCATGCCAATATTGTCATGAAAGATCGAAAATTTCTTTAAAAAAGAAATTTCACGGACTCAAGCAGAATACCGAGCAGAGCCGAAAACCAATAACTAGATCTTGAAGTATGGCTTAGCAGCATGTACCACAACCTGCCAACCAAAATAAAATTTAGTTGCATAAATCACAAGACTTTTAGCGCTTTCAAATAAACTAATCAAATATCGATTTCAAAGAGAAAAACAAAAATAACTTTCTAAATCAACAAAACAAGAGCATACAACAGTACAAACCATGTATTTAGATACGTGCATATATTTTTACCTACTGCCAAGCACTGCTGGCTAATATCAGTATAAAAAAGAAAAATATTGCCGAAGTAAAAGTGTAATTTATATGCAAAACAGCCGAATTTGGCATAAGAAATTCAGAAAATGCCACCAAAGTAAGTGGAGGAACTTGCAGAAGAGTGAGGCAGACAGATATCGAACGCAAGGTACTGACTAACTGACTGTCGTGCTAACAAAGTGTTCAAATGATGACTTGGTAAAATATTTTTCAATGTATATCTCAATGAGTTTGTAAAATTTGGCTGCGGAAAGGAAGCCAAAGAAGAAATCAAGCGAACCGTGCACTGGTTAAAGTCGTGCGGTGGCTCTTGGCTGATAATGTTGACTGGTAAGGAGCATGCGGTAAGTGCCTTCATGTGGAGTGTGTTGTGGAAGGATGCTAGAAAAATATTGCGAAGAGCAAACAAATTTATAATTTATGCACTTGATTTGGAATTTTTAAAGTTCGATATCGTCACTGGAAATGCAAAATAACATATCATCAAAAAAATCGAAATTGAGTGTCTTATTGATTACGCTTCACTACTCCAAATTACATACATAATATTACATATGTTCAACATTTTCATTTTCACGTAAACCAACATTAAATTTTTTTTTCACTCATGCTCCATTTTATTTCGTGTTTCATTCATGCCGCTACAAATTTCCGAAAATGTTGTTACGTTATTTTGCATTTCAGGTGACGATATACACATATGTTTAGAAGCGTGTGTTCGCATGGATTAACGAACTGAAATAGAATTTTGTTTTCCACCTGTGTTCTTTTCGCTTAAATTTTTGGCTGAAAATTGTGAAATTTTCTATGCTTTTTTTTTCGTTAGAGTAATGCACTTGAGTAGCATTTACAATTTCATTAGTTTGAATGAACTAAAAGCCACTTCTAAGCCTTTAAAGCCACATTTCCAACTCGAAATTGTCATTATTTCACAAGTAAGCCTCAGCACGATTAAGAATTTTGCTCAGGCGAAAATTTATTAAAAATGAAAGGCATATAACGACAAACACTCACAGCACCAAAGACGAGTTGTTGACGCATATTAAATTTATTAAAACATTAATTCATAAGTAAAGTGAAGTGGAGTGGAACACGAGGTAAAAGTAAATCAAGAATATTATGAATGAAAACTCATAATGCACCTGTGTCAGGTTGCAAAAGAATTTATGAAACGGCACTTAAGTAAGAGCATATGTATATTACACACATATTTATTTCTATCCCAAAGTTAAGTGTGTGTGCGTAGAAGCATGACTTATGTACATATGTCATAACTAAGGTTGTGTGCTGGTGCGTTAATTTTGCTGTAACATTACACATACACATATATTTTTCAAAAGCTTTTAGGAATGAAATTTCTCACTTAAATGGTGACACTATAATATCCTTCACAAATACCTCAGGTTCCACAATAATATAAGAACTTGATTCCGATCGAACACGAAGGAAAACAGCTTTTTGTAACTAATACCAGGCTCATTGAGCTAATTACATACATATGCTACTATGAGCTAAAAATAATAAGACTTTGTTCATAAATTTTAAAATTTTTAATTTAGTTTTCCAAATTTGATTTTCGAGCAAATGTATTGATTTTGAAACTAATAGTGCTTTCATTTATCTTAGACCCAGATTTTTACTGATTCTAGCGAGACTGTTAATCGTCGATTCTTAACCATCAATTACTTTGTCTTATTGATGATGTTGATTGCCGTTCTGGACGAGGTTCGTCTTCCCCACGTTCTCGACCTTCTTTGAATAATTTATACCAATCAAAAACACAAAGTCAAGCGTATACTAAATACCAATGATTACTTCGATGTAACATTTGACAAAGATTCCACTGACAGTCATACCAACCTAGAAAAAAAATATTTCAGCGAAGGGTATTACTATTTTTTGTCCACAAATCTATCGTTCACTTCTAAGCGATAGGACACCTGCGATATACAATTCATTGACCATACGCGCATCGTGTCACAGACGAATTTTAATGTTTTTATTAAATGACGCTTCTTTATTGTCAGTATACGTATAATGTCAATATTTAAATTAAAATTTTAATAATTAATAACGTTAATAATTTACTCGTAGCAACAATGCTGTTTACCCTTTTATAGTTCCTCGCGTTCAACACAACGGCATTAATGTAAAGCGCCAATATTTTGTTGTTTCGCATTTATGAAATATTAAATATACAAGTAGATAATTATTGGTAAATATTACAAAATTATAACGACGCCCAAGCGGCCGCATACATATGAACGCTTAAAATATGCACATATGTATAAGTACTTTAGCTTAGGTAATTCATATAAAAGCTGAAAGATTCAAAGCACCGGTTGTTAAACGGTATTTCAGGCAACCCTGGGAGCATAATTTAATCGTGCATGTCTTGACAAA